TGGAGACATGCAAAATCAAATTTCAAATAAAAAAAAAACATCAATGGCATTCATTTATGAAATAAGATATTAAAAAAAAAATGTATTCACCGCCTTCTCAATTAAATATCAAAATAAAATTAGCTTGTCCAGAAAGCTCCTGTTTCCTGCCTTTCTTTTGGTCATTTTTGGGAAGTTTAGCACAGTTAAAGCTGTAGTGTGTAGCTACTGTCACAGAGGAGTTTCTGGGTCCTGTTCTGAACAACAGCAGGGCATTATGGGAGTTGTAGTATGAGCGGTTAATGTACAGTATAATACTGGTATTGTCTCGTGGGCCAAATAAAATTACAACCGGGCCAAATTTGGCCCGCGTTCCAGAGTTTGACACCCCTGGGTTAGATGGTTGGAAAGCTTCTTTATCGTGTCCTCTTTCCTGGACACTTTGCTTTTGAGGTACAGATCAGTGGGCCTTAGCTTTCCAATGTCATTAAACTGTGATTGGGCTGTAGTTTATTTCTATGTTTGAGCCTTCTGTCCATTTTATAATATTTTATAATATAGCCTTTTAATCGTAACTTCTTTACCGGATGATAACTTTTTTCAGACGTCAGAGGAAGAAAAATATTAACTTCACAGTCTGTGAAATTCAGGGCACAGAGATACACACATATAATACAAAAAGTAATAAATAGGAAGATGTCATGTCTCCTTTTTCCTCCAGAGACTCAAGCTTGTATGTGGTGTTCATTCTTGCTTTCTTCTAAATATCTAATATTAGTAGGGCAGAATCAGTTTGATAACTAGAGTCTGTCTTGGTTTAGGTTGTTTCCATTTAATAGGGACACTGAGTTCATCTTTAGGTTTAAAATATATTTGTCTATTTATATATTTTTTAGCAGTTTGATTCTGCAAGTCTAAATGATGAAATTGCTAAATTTTGATTACACAAAGACACGATTAGTTTAAATAAAAACATTTTAAAAAATGCATAAAATCGTATTACCGTATATTAGATTTTAAAACAGTATCTGATAGCCTCTACAGATACATGTTTATCATGGCATCAGAATCAGAAATACTTTAATAATCCCAGAGGGAAATTATCTAATTATTTATTATTTATTTAATTAATTATTATTTATTTGATTATCCTCACATCGGCTGAGTTAGTGTCACATGCAGTTGGAAGAGTTGGGGTAAATTTGGGTAAATGTTTAAGACACAATGATATGTTAATGTCCCATGAAAGTGTTACAATCTTTTGGAAATCAAAAGAGAATAATCTATGATTAAATAGTTTCCTTTCCTCTGTAAAGAGTCAATCCAGCTGAGTCTGTTAATCTGCGTCCATGCAGGTGAAAAACAAGATGACCAAGGAGCAGTACATCAAAATGAACCGCGGGATCAACGACAGTAAGGACCTGCCCGAGGAGTACCTCTCCTCCATATACGACGAGATCGCCGGCAAAAAGATCGCCATGAAGGAGAGCAAAGAGTTCTCCATCACGCCCAAATCCGGCAAGCAGAGTGAGTCCAAAAGGAAGGTTTTATTAGAGGTTTTCCTCACAACAACACACCAGAACCTGGTCTGAAACCGCTCTGAGAACCCCAGGTTCTGTTCCCCTGATGGGAACCAGAGTCAGAACTGAACAAAGTGAAGCCTTATTTTAGTTTCAGGCTCCTGAAATCTGGATCAGTTTTCAGATCCAGGCTGAAAACGGATCTGTTTAACTGTGCATATGGAAAATGAATCATATTCAGAATCAGAAATGCTTTCATAATCCCAGAGGGAAATTATTTTTGTTACTAACTCCAGTAATAAAACAACAGCATATATATATATATATATATACATTTTGTATACATATATGAATTTACCAAATTCCACACAAAATATAAATAAATATATATATGAGTAACTATATATGTATATATATATATAAGTAAATATATCAATCAATCAATCAATGTTTATTTATATAGCACTTTACAACAACCGGAGCTGACCAAAGTGCTTAACAGTAATAAAAACAGATCAAACTATCAAAATATACAAAGACAAATACATTGGTGACAAAACCCAGTTTACAGAGATTTTACATGCAAAAAGCAATTCTGAACAAATGCGTTGTGTATATTTTATATATATATATATATATAGGTCTAAAATAAGTGTATACATCTTATATCTTATTATCTTCACTTTTTGTCTATCTAACTTATTTTGTTGATTTTTTTTTTCTTTCTTAATTTTTCTGCTTTTGAATTCTTTGTAATGCACTTTGAATTGTCTTGTACAGGAAATGTGCCGTACAAATCCCAGAGGGAAATTATTTTTGTTTCTAACTCCAGAAATAAAACAACAGCATCTATAAATATACATTTCTGTACATATATACATATATAAATATACCAAATTCCACACAGAATATAAATATATATATATAGGTTTAAAATAAGTGTATACATCTTATATCTTATTATCTTCACTTTTTTATCTATCTAACTTATTTTGATTTATTTTCTTTCTGAATTTTGAATTGTCTTGTACATATATACATTTCTATACATATATATGTATATAAATATACCAAATTCCACACAAAATATAAATGAATATATATATATGTATATATATAGGTCTAAAATAAGTGTATATATCTTATTATGTTCACTTTTTATCTATCTAACTTATTTAGTTATTTCATTTTCTTTCTTAATTTTTCTGCTTTTAAATTCTTTGTAAAGCACTTTGAATTGTCTTTTACAGGAAATATACTTTACAAACACACTTGCCTTGCCTCTATTAAAGAAAGCTCCCTTTTTCTTGCAGACGTGGCCAGTGAGAAGCAGCGCCGGCTGCTCTACAACATGGAGATGGAGCAGATGGCCAAAACGGCCAAAGCCCTGATGGAGGCCGTTAGCCACGCCCAGGCGCCCTTTTTCAGCGCCACTCACCTGGAACACGTCCGGCCCATGTTTAAGGTGAGAGGGAGTCCCAATCCGTCAGTTTTAGGCTGGTCCCGATCCGATATCTGGAACGGATCGGCTGCCGATATTTGCAAAAAAAAAAGCCTATTGGCCAGCAGGAGAAAATACAGATCCAGACTCCAGTTCCATTTTTTTTTTTTTTAAGGCTGATCCCACATGAGCATTAGCATCTCCTAACCCAGTGTTTTTCAACCTTTTTTGAGCCAAGGTACAGTTTTTCATTGAAAAAATCTCGAGGCACACCACCAAACAAAAATGTTAAACAAATCTGTAGCCACCTATAGAAACACTATAGTTATTCTTATCTTAAGTGTCTTGAATAGGAATCAAATAAACACAAAGATGTATTTTTATCATATTTTATATTTCTTCTTTCAAATTGCACTTAACATGTCCACTTCAATATGCAATATTAAATACAAAATCTAGTCATAAGGAATTATTACATGATTACGCCACCAGTCACTAGAACAGCACAGACACTCAAAAATTGAATATTATTTGCAGAAAATTAATTCCTTATCAAAAAAATCTTTTTAGACCAATTAGGTGAAATAGGATGATTTTCTACGGCACACCTGACCATCACTCACGGCACACTAGCGTACCGAGGCACAGTGGTTGAAAAACACTTTCCTAACCCACAGGTCTGTGTCCTAACCATTAAGTTAGGACACAGATCCCGGCCCATCAGAGTATGTCTTAAAGTTTAAAGTTATTTATTCTACTTACTTAGTTGTCAGACTCATGTTGAACAGGGATTTACTCTGATAACAACTTAATGGTTAGGACACAGACCTGTGGGTTAGGAGATGCTAATGCTAATGCTCGTCCCGATCCGATATCTGGATCGGATCGGCTGCCTATATTTGCAAAAAAAATGCGTATTGACCGGCAGGAGAAAATGAAGATCCAGTTTTTAAAAAAGTACAATCCCACACGAGCATTAGCGTTAGCATTAGCATCTCCTAACCCACAGGTCTGTGTCCTAACCATTAAGTTGTTATCAGAGTAAATCCCTGTTCAACATGAGTCTGACAACTAAGAAAGTAGATAAATAACTTTAAACTTTAACACATGCTCTGATAGGCCAGGATCGGAAGTGAAAAAAGCTGGATCGGGACATTTCTTGACCTTTCATCACAGAAATGAGAAAAACACGTCAGGCTAAAGGGAAGACAAACAGACTTAACCGGCTCAGCCTCCAGCTTCTGTTGCTTTAAACATGTGACACCCTGCTGTTTGCCATTTTGCATTATCAAATACTACACACACAGCTACTTTTTCTTTAATTAATTTCCGGTCTCCATTCACGCTGAGGTGAAGTAAAATGCTCAGAGGGACTGACGTTTCCCTCTCAGACGCTTTCATTTCCTCTTTTTCTGGCTCGGCTGCACACCCCTGGCAATAATCTTTGTTTTTTTTAGTTTATTTGCAGAGTCACTGTGAGTCATGCAGTGACTGGCTGTTTACTGTTTTACTGTTTAGTGAAACAGGTCAGCCAAAACATCCAGCTCCATGAGCCATAAATTACTCAAAATTACTCAGAGAAATGTTTGAATGAGATCACCTCTTGGATTAATGTCGACTCATTTTCTTAGATGTTTTTATTCTTTATTTACAGAGATGTATAAAGTACTGGAGTAGAAGTATAAGTACTATATAAAAAAACTGACTTGAGTAAAAGTAGAAGTGTTCTTTCAACAGCATACTTAAGTGGAAGTACGGAAGTACTAAATTTATTGTTTTACTTAAGTATTGGAAGTGGAAGTATTTCAAAAAGTGCTACTCAAGTATTGAAAG